CCCCCCATTTAAAAGGAGATGCCTTCCGACGAAAAAAAATTCTTAGGTGGGGGTGAAATGCGTAGGAAGAGGATGTTTCAATTAAATAGCCAGGGAATTGAGTAGACCCAGATGGGTGTTAAGTGGATTGTAAAGAGCCAGAATGACATCCAGTCCTTGTTTACCATAAAAACGCATCAGGGTTCCCTCAGGGAAGGGGCCAGTCCCAGGGCTGGGCCAGGAAAGGTCCTGGTGAGATGAGCTTGGTACATTTTGTTGCCCCAAAAGTTAAGGAGGCCCCCCCCCCCCCCCCCCGCCCATCACCAAATGATGGGGGCATGTTAAAAGGACCAAGGAAGGGGAGATGGACACTGTGTGCCTCCGGATGTGATACCTGGAGAAGTTCACAATATCGCTCACATAAGGATTCTGGAAGGACTGAATCTAATCATGAAGGAACATCAAGCAAACCCAAACTGAGGAACATTCCACAAAAATAACTGGCCTTATTCATCAAATATGACAATGCCATAAAGACAAATCACTGTGCTTGGACTGTGGGACAGCCCACATCACAGGAAACTAAAGCGACAACTAAATGTATCATGTGATTCTTGATTGAATCTTGGACAGGAATGGGGTGGGAATATTTTCAAGGACGCTACTGAGACAACTGACAAAAATGTAGGTCATAGATTAATGGAAGTATTTTACCCATATTAAATTACTTAATGTAGTAACTATACTGTGGTTCTTCCTACAGACGGAACATTTGAGCCCTCCCCCCGAGAGTCATAGATTAAATCCTAATGCTCATGGTGACGGTATGAGGTGGGGTCTTGGGGAGGCGGTTAGATCTGAGGGCACAGCCCTCAGGAGTGGGATTAGTGCCCGTATAAGAGACCCCAGAGATCTCGGAGAGGTGATTTCTCAGTGAGTGTAGAAGAGGAGGTTGGTGGGACACTGTTTAGACGCAGCGGGTCCTTGCGAGGAACCCTGTTTCTTTGTAGCTGTTTTGATGCCTGTCCTCCCAGCCTGATGAATGGCAGAGGTTTCTACTTCCTCAGTCTAATTAATTTTTATTTTCTCAATAGTTTAAAATGTATGGCTTCCCCCCCTCCAGAACCCAGCCCCCTTCTTCCCTTAATCAGACAGTCGGTAGATGTTTTTCCTTCCCTTTTTCTTTACCTGAAGAATGAGTCAGCTAAGTGATTCCTTCCAGTTCCTTGCACAAGAAAGGTGAGTCAGCTAATTCTCAGCAGGGCCTGGGGCCTGCAGTACAAGGCCTTCCCACCCCCGCAGCCACTGGGGGAGAGCGGGCCTTGGGAGCAGCAGCTGAGGCAATGGGCTGAGAAGGAACCTTCAGCCTCCTGCACCCAGCCCTCTAAATCACTGTGCTTAGGAATAAAATGCCCGCTGAACCTGTAGCTCAAAGGCAGAAAGACTGGGCCAGCTCACTAATCCTGGACCAAGCTGCACACAGAGTCACCTGGTATTCCAAAACCCAGCTGAACACCCAGAGATTCAAATTCTACTGGCCTGGGGGGGGGGGGGGGGGGGGGTCCCGGCATCCGGGGAGCCCTGTGCCGCAGGGGTGGAGAGCCCCTGGAATAAAAAGGATTGAACCTTTTCCCAACACAACCCGCCCCAGGGGCAGCCCTAGAACAGTCACTAAATCTGTGGGGAAA